GACCCACTCAGTGCTCAGATCCACTCACAACCCAGACCCACACATAGCCTGGACCTGGACCCACTCGCTGCACAGACCCAACCACAGCCTGGACCTGGACCCAGTCACTGCTCAGACCCACTCGCAACCCAGACCCACACACAACCTGGACCTGGATCCACTCATGATCCAGACCAACACACAGCCAGGACCCAGACCCACTCAGTGCTCAGACCCACTCACAACCCAGACCCACACACAGCCTGGACCCGGATCCACTCGCAACCTGGACCCACTCACAACCCAAACCAACACACAGCCAGGACTTGGACCCACTCACAGCTCAGACCCACTCACTGGTCAGACCCACTCACAACCCAGACCCACACACAACCTGGACCCAGACCCACTCTCAACCTGGACCCACTCACAACCCAGACCCACACACAACCTGGACCCAGACCCACTCTCAACCTGGACCCACTCACAACCCAGCCCCCACACAAGCCCACACAACCCAAGACCCACACACAGCCTGGACGCAGACCCACTCACAAACTAGACCCACTCATGGCCTAGGCCCATTCTCAACCCAGACCCACTCACAGCCAGCTCCCACTCATAGCCCAGGTCCACCCAGGGCCGCCATCCACCCTGTCCATCAGCACCCACAGCCATCCTGGCCTGGCACCTGGGTGCTCCCCTGGGGTTACCCTCCACACCCACAGGGGACCATGGGGTCCGTGACGCCGTGATGGTGCTGGGCCAGGCTGCGGGGACACAGCAACCAACTGTCCCCTCATCCCCTTTCCCGTGCCGTGGGATGGGTCCTCCCCACTGATCTGGGGGGGGAGCAGCCCCACCGAAGAGCCACGCTGGATAATTTATGAGTGGGCAGCTTGGGAGCGCCATGCGTTCGCTCATCAATAAGACATGAAATAAAAGCGCACGTCCGCTCCGGCCTAGCAGAGCTTCTGCTGCGCATTAGGAGCTCCATTAGGAGCCATCAGAGATCCCGTTTTCCTAAAAAGCCCGATGGATAAAGAGATGCTGAGAGGATGCTGTAGCGCTGGGGGAAAGGAGAGGGGGTCTAATGAATGGAGCCGTGGACTTGGCCACGTGGGTGGGGACAAATTGGTTTGGAAACGCTGACAGTGCTTTATGAGAGCGAGCCAAACACCATTTTGGGGTGAGATCTCCGTCTTTATTGTGGTTTTAGCGCCGTTTTGGGAATAATAAAGGATTGTATTGAATGGATTTGTTTTAGGTAAAATAATTCTCCGTTTACAGCTTCCCAGAGCAGAAGAAATCACCCCTTCTGATAAATAAAAGTAGAAATAGGCCCAGGTCCTCTCCATTTCCTCCGTAGAATAAACCGCTGTCCCCTTGCCCGCGTCCCCGGCCTCACACCCTGCGGCGCATGTGGTTCTGGAGTGAGACCAGCCTTTGTGCCCGGCCTTTGTTTACCACCACGGCTATCCCGAGGAGAGCGCCCGCAGACAAGGGCAGTTTATTCCTCTTTCCTGATAATGGCGCATTCATTCTTCTGAGGAGGCTCACCGTCCTCTCTGGAGAGCTCAGCAGCGGGTTTCTGCGTTGTTTTCTGTACGACGCCAGCTTCGGGGAGAGGATTTGAGTAAAAAAGTGGAGAATGCAGGACAATATTCAAGTAGGTCGTGGGTCCCAGACTGGTTTTTCAGCTATCGCTGAAATCATCAATAATCTGGAGGTATCTAGAAATGCCATGGGGCATCTCCCAAGCAGAGCAGGACTATCATATCTCTGGGTATGGACCAGCTGCTCATCCTGGATGCCTTTTGAGTGATGCTGCCACATTCGGGTTGGATGTATGGTTCCTCTACCTTAGCAAAAAATAAGATTAGCCCTTGGGTACAACTCCTGGATTTTCATGGACAATATAGAACACAAGCCTGGGCCTGAAGAAACGCTTGTGCTCCTGGAAGCTCGGCTGGTTTCTCCAAATATATCAACTGGCCTAATAAAAAATATCGCCTCTCCCTACAAAGCTTATGACAATTATCTAGTCATTTACATAAACACGATAGGTTCTCAGCTCGCCCGAATCACCACCACAGCTCTGCCGATTTACGGTGGCGGCTTGATTTGCCCCAGACTGAACAAATACTGATTTATTCCTGTCAAAGCACCGTAGCAATAAATACATTTCACAAGGCAGATGATTTCCTTCCCCGTCACAGGTCAGAACATGATATTCACAACGCTGTAAATTCTTCAGAATAACGATCAGACCGTAATATTTATCTGCAGTGTATCCAGCCCACTTTTGGGGCTCCCATGTATAAATCAGCAGCCCCTCGCACCACTTAATTCTTCTGTTTTTCAGACTGGGCAGACTGGTGGGATGAAGGTTAGATGGCGAATGGCCGGAGGTGGAAGCTGAGTTTGGTGCTTCTGGTGGGCAGCTGGAGGTGGCATCTGGCTGCCTGTCACTAAATGTCACTAAATGTCCCCCTCCCAGCTCTGCCTGGTACCTCTAGACACCCCTCAGCGAGAGCCCAGGCGGTTGCTGGGTTGGGAAATCGCAAAGGATGCGGGTCTGTTCTGCAGATGTCCCAGAAAAACCTAATAACCCCGATTCCGCCTACGGTATTAAAAATACTCC